GGAGTTTCCCGTCCTGCCTCTGCACTCTGACAGAGGTGGGGACTTTTCCTCCGACCTCTTGGCAGCCTTCTGTGCGGAGCACGGCATCCGCCAGACGTTCACGCTTCTGGCCTCTCCGCAGCAGAATGGGGTTACTGAGCGCCGCATTGGCTTAGTCATGGTCATTGGCTCGTACCTCCATGATCCATGCGGCTGCCCCCCATTTTCTGTGGCCGTTTGCGGTCCGGTATGCCGCGCATCAGCTCAACCTCGCAGCCCGGTGTCTCCTTGCCGGAGACCTCGCCCACACTGCTGTGGACGGGGAAGGTTGGCGATGCGTCGCGTTTCCGGGTCTGGGGTGCTCGTGCCTTTGTCCGCGATACCACCGCGGACAAGCTCTCGGCCCGCGCTGTTCCCTGTGTCTTCCTTGGCTTTGTCCCTGACGCGCCTGGTTGGCAGTTTTACCACCCCACCTCGCGCCGTGTCTTCCCCTCTGAGGACGTCACCTTTGACGAGTCGGTTCCCTTTTATCGTCTCTTTCCCTACCGCACTGCCCCTCTCCCCCCCCCCCCCGCCGCTCTTCCTCGCTCCAGGTGCTCCCCAGGTAGACCCCCTCCCCGCTCCCGGTCTTGCTCCTTCAGGTGTGTCTCAGGTAGACCCTCCTCCCTTGACTTCGCCGGTTGAGGTCACTGGTGACTCAGGTCCTGCTGAGGGTGGTCCTTCTCGGGGTGCTGCTTCTGGGGGTGCTGAGTCTGGGGGTGGGGAGCCTGAGGGTGCTGAGCCTGGGGGTACTGAGTCTGGGGGTGCTGCACCTGGGGGGGCTGAGGCGTCTGGTGAGCAGTCTTCCTGGGGCGGCCGTCTCCGTAGTCGCTCCGCTGGTACCTTGCCGCTGCACTCTCGTCGTCGACTCCCTCTCTCCCCACAGCAGCTGCGTGAGTGGTACGTTGGCCGTCAAGGTCGCGCTGCTGGAGCTAGGGGCCCTGCTGCGGGAGGCGCTGGAGCTGGTGACTCTGCTACTGGAGTTGATTCTGCTGGAGGTTCTGGAGCTGCTGAGGGTGCTGGAGATGGAGAATCTGGAGCTGCTGAGGGTGCTGGCGCTGGAGGTTCTGGAGCTGCTGAGGGTGCTGGAGCTGGAGGTTCTGGAGCTGCTGCGGGTGCTGGTGCTGAGGGTTCTGAGTCTGCTGTTGCGCGGTCTCCTTGGAGTAGCCGCCTTCGTCCGCGTGTGCCTCTCACCTCACAGCAGCTGCACGACTGGTACGATCGCCGTCAGGGTCGCGCTTCTGGACCTCGGGGCTCTGCCGCTGGAGGTACTTCTGCTGGCGTCACTGGAGCTGGGAGTGGTGCTCGTCCTGGAGGTGCTCGTACTGGAGGTACTGGAGCTGCTGGGGCTGGAGGTGCTAAGCCTGAGGGTGCTACTGCTGGAGACCCTGGGACTGGAGGTGCCGGTTCTGGGGGTGCTGCTGCTGGTGGAGCTGGTCCTGTAGGAGCTGGCGCTGAGGGTTCTGGAGCTGCTGGCGGTGCTGGAGCTGCTGGGGGTGCTGAAGCTGCTGGGGGTGCTGGAGCTGCTGGTGCTGGTGGCACTGCACAGCCGCGCCTGGTCTTTGCTCCACCGTCTCCGTCGTCTCAGCCACCGTCTGACTCTGTGCTTCGCCAGGTTCTTAGTCTCCCTTCGTCTACTGGTCTTCCGTTACAGCCTGGCTCACCGCTGCCTGCTCCTTCTCCTTACACTGAGCAGACAGGGGGTCTTACTGAGCGTCGTGCGCCTGCGTCGCGTCCTGTCTTGCCTATTCTTTCTGGTCGTTCTGGTCGTCGTGTTCCTTGTTCGCGTCAGCCGGCTGCCACCGGCACCCACCTCGTAGTTTGTCGTCCTTCCTCTCCTCCGCAGCGTGTTCCCCTGCCGTCCCCTCCTGCGTCTTCTCTGCCTAACGTTCCTGAGCCTGAGTCTGACCGTACCCGTGCTGCTCACCCTACTGTCACGCGTCTGCTAGCCACAGTTGTCACTGACCCGTCGTTTGAGTCTTGTGTTGCGCCTGCCTTAGTCACTGAGCTTGTTGACTTTGCTGCCGCCTGTCGTCTAGACTACGCCGCTAGTCTTGTTGCTGAGTCTGGGTCTGTCTGTCCTCCGTCCGTCGGGGGTGAGTGTGCTCTTGGCACGGACGTCTTTGAGGACAGGCACGAGGACCTTGAGTGTCTTGCAGCCGCTGCGCCTCATCTCGTCTCCATGCTGCTTGCCCCTGAGGCGATCGCGGGTGAGTACTCCTCTGAGTGGCAGACAGCCATAGACGCAGAGATGGCATCCTGGAAGTCCACAGGCACTTACGTTGACGAGGTTCCCCCTCCTGGGGCGAACATCGTCAGTGGCATGTGGATTTTCAGGGTGAAGCGGCCGCCAGGTTCTCCGCCTGTCTTCAAGGCTCGTTACATTGCTCGAGGTTTTAGTCAGCGAGAGGGAGTAGACTTCTTCCAGACCTTCTCCCCCACCCCGAAGATGACCACTCTTCGGGTGCTGCTGCACGCTGCCGCTCAGCGTGACTACGAGCTTCACTCTCTTGACTTCAGCACAGCTTTCTTACAGGGCAGCCTGCACGAGGAGATCTGGTTGCGCCGTCCTCCTGGCTTCACTGGGTCGTTCCCTCCTGGTACCCAGTGGAGCCTCCGGCGGCCGGTCTACGGTCTCCGCCAGGCACCACGTGAGTGGCACGACACACTGAGGGCTACACTTGCGGCTCTTGGGTTTGCACCTTCCACTACTGACCCGTCGCTGTTTCTGCGGACCGACACGTCGCTGCCGCCGTTCTACATCCTCGTGTACGTCGACGACTTGGTCTTTGCCACTGCTGACACTGAGGCTCTCGCCCTGGTGAAGTCGGAGCTGTAGAAGAGACACACGTGCACAGACCTGGGTGAACTGCGCAGCTACCTTGGCTTGCAGATCACCCGGGACAGAGCACGCCGCACCATCACACTGACTCAGTCACACATGGTGCAGCAGGTCCTTCAGTGCTTCGGCTTCACCTGGTCCTCGCCACAGCACACTCCTCTGGCTACAGGCCACTCGCTCTCAGCTCCACCTTTGGACGAGTCCGTAGAGCCGAGTGGCCCATACCCAGAGCTAGTGGGCTGCCTCATGTACCTAATGACCTGCACTCGACCTGACCTTGCGTACCCTCTTGGCCTTCTGGCTCGCTACGTGGCTCCTGGTCGGCACCGAAAGGTGCACATGGATGCTGCGAAGAGGGTACTGCGCTACTTGTGCGGTACATCGGGCATGGGGCTCGTGCTTGGAGGACGGAGGGCAGTTGTCCTCACTGGGCACTCAGATGCTTCTTGGGTTGACGACCAGGCTACGCAGCGGTCGTCACAGGGTTACACCTTCAGCCTTGGCTCTGGTTCGGTTTCTTGGCGTTCTACACGCTCGTCTTCTGTTCTCAGCTCCAATTGTGAGGCTGAGATCCACGCCACAGCCATGGCTGCACAGGAGTTACGCTGGCTCACCTACCTGCTGACCGACCTGGGAGAGCGGCCTCGTTCTCCTCCAGTGCTGTACGTCGACAACAAGGCCGCCATTGCCTTGTGTGAGGAGCACAGACTGGAGCACAGAACGAAGCACATCGCTGTGCGTTACTTCTTGGCTCGAGAGTTGCAGCAGCGTGGTCAGCTTCGTCTTGCTCACGTGGCCACTCGGGCCAACACTGCTGATATATTAACCAAGGCACTTCCGTCTGGTGATCATCAGCGTTTCTGCACTTTGTTAGGCCTTGTGCCCACTTTTCCTCACTTGCTGTAGACTCTGCTTGTACTGTGATCTATATATATACCTGCATGCTTGCTCTGCTAGGTAGAGATCACTGTGCTGTTGTTGTTGCATATATACCTCTGCATGTGAACTGGCCTTGTGCCCCTTTGCTTGTGCTCAGTGTGTGTGGTGACGTTGTGATCCACCCTAAGCTTGCTTTGCTTCGCTTGACTGGACTTGTGACCCCTTGCTTTGCTTCGCTGAGATCCTGTACTAGTAGCTAAACAAGATCCTACATTAGCACCTACTCTAGCAACAGGCAAAGATCCTAAGCTAGGTACAGGCAAGTACACAGATCCAGGAGCACTATAGTCAACATCAGCATACATGGCATATGACCTAGCATCATCCATAGTCATATCAAAAACAGCAATACCACGAGCAAGAAGTGTCCCCCAGCGTGGCGGCGGGGGAGCGGAGGGGCTGTGGTGCAAGCGGTAGAGGTCGTCAAGACGACTGAAGCAGCGTGTAGCAGAGTGGTCGGGGCTGCCACAGTACGAGTCCCGACGAGGACCCGTAAGGATCCAGTACTCACAGGGACCAACGTCGCGGCTGGCCGAGCGAGGTCCCCGACTGGAGGGGGCGCCACTGCGCCCAGTGCTCGGGGGACCCGCAGACCTCCACTGCTGCTGAGGGCCCCACTGCTGCGGAGGGCCCCACTGCTGAGGCTGCTGCTGTGGCGGGCGCTGCTGATGGCCCTGTCGCTGTTGCTGCTGTCCCTGCCGCTGCTGCTATCCAGGCGGTGGCAGCTGCTGAGGAGTCGGGTGCTGCTACTGCTGGGACCCCGCCACCACCAGTGAAAACTCCACCGTCGAAAGGAGGGCCGTGAGGTCCCGAGCCACCCCAACCACCACTCCCACCACCTCCTCCACCGCCACCGCCACTACCCGCACCACCTCCAGTACCCCCGCCCCCCTTCCTGCCCCTCTTACCAGCCTTGCCACGTTTCTGCCCGCCAGAGACAAAAACAGCCGCCGTCTCCTCAGAGGCAGAAGACGTGGGGGTGGCAAATGAGGCAGAGAAGGTGGGAAGCTGTGGTACTGCACACCCCTCAAAAAGACGAGGAGGAGGCGCGGAAGAGGCAGAGGCAACAGTGAGGAGGTTACTCTCGAACTTCGAGAGAGCAGTCTCAAGAAGATCGATGGTAAGCTCAGTGGGGTGCTTCAGAAGAAGCGCGTCGCAGGCTGTGGCTAGGCGGTCAGGGAGGCGAGTGACTAGCCAGTGAATGGTGAGCCACATAGGGGGTGGGGCAAGGGCAAGCTCGTCCTCAGTGCAAGCAGCGCGAAAGCGAGCATCAAGGGAGCGTAGGTGGGTAGCGAGGTCAGAGACAGTCTCAAAGGAGGCGAGGTCAGGGTAGATAAAGGGTACGAGGAGGCGACTTAGCAAAGCAGAGGAGGGAGTGGAGTAGCGAGTAACAATAGCCTTATACAGATCTGCAGCAGACTCGACCTGAGCAAAGTGTACTACCTCTGTCGGCGGGAGAAGGTCGGTCAGGGCGAGGCAGGCAGCGGCGTCACGAGACTCCCACACGTTGCGAGCGAGGAGCTGGCGCTGGTAGTCAGCCTCCTGCTCAGAATTAGGCGGTCGGGTAGTGGGCAGCAGCTGAGGCTGCGGAGGGGCGGTCTGAGTGCCGGACGGGTGTGCGAACAGGTGCACGCCATCCTGCCGCTGGCTCTTAAGGTGGCGCTGCGCCTGCGTAAGCCACGTACTAAAGTCAATCGGTCTCCCTTCAGGGTCAAATCGAAGTATTCAAGAGGTCGCCATAGGGGGTGAAACTGAGAGAGCGCGGCTGCCAGCCGTGGGAGGGGGGGACAGTCAGTGGCGTGTGGGCAAGCGCGCAGGCGTGCAGGTGGGCAGGCGGCGCGGCATGCGGACAGGCGGGCGGCGCGGCGCGCTGGCTGGCGGACGGCGCGGCGCGCTGGCTGGCGGGCGGCGCGGCGCGCTGGCTGGCGGGCGGGCAGCGCGGTGCGCTGGCGTGGCGCGCTGGCGTGCGCGCCGGCGTGGCGCGCTGGCGTGCGCGCCGGCGTGGCGTGCTGGCGTGCGCGCTGGCGTGACGCGCTGGCGGGCGCACTGGCGTGCGCGCTGGCGGGGCGCGTTGGCGTGCGCGCTGGCGGGGCGCGCTGGCGTGCACGCTGGCGTGACGCGCTGGCGGGCGCGCTGGCGTGCGCGCTGGCGGGGCGCGCTGGCGTGCGCGCTGGCGGGGCACGCTGGCGTGCGCGCTGGCGTGCGCGCTGGCGGGCCTGATGGCTAGGGCGCTGGCGGGCCTACTGGCTAGGGCGCTAGCGGGCCTACTGGCTAGGGCGCTGGCGGGCCTGCTGGCTAGGGCGCTGGTGCGCCTGCTGGCTAGCGTGCTTAGGGCAGACGGGGGGGTGGGCACGCCAAGGCTAGTGACGGCCGAAGTCTAGGAACGGCGGAGACTAAGTGTGGCCTAGGAACGGCGAACCTATTGCTCATACCATCTCAGAAACTAAACACAGCGGAATGGGTTGGATTGATTGGGTTGGGGTACAAATGCCTCACCCTAACTGTTTGTACCCCATATAGCATGACCCACTAGAGGCTATAACATTTGACATCCTCGGCGTACCCTCCATCGTCACCAGCTTCGCCGCCCTCAGCGTCCTGCTGCACCTCAGTCCGCGTCCTGCCGACGACTCTCCTGTGGTCGGCTCCTCTACCGACTGTCTGGTCGCCGACTGTCCTTTGGTTGGCTTCACGGCTGCCTGCTCCCCTGCTGGTCCATCCTTTGCCGGCTCCACCAAAGCTGGCTGCACCTCCTCGACCTGCGTCTCCCCTGTTGGCTTCGACGCCGCTCCCATGGCGACTTGTTGGTGTTGCGTCGGCCACCGGCGATGTTCTTGGCCGGCGCCACGGGCGTCGTCACACTGCTCCCCTCATCACCGGAGGCCGACACCGAAGTCAGGCCACGCAGGTCGGCTACAAGGGGAGGGGTAGGAGGGGCAGGGGAAGGGGAGGAAGGTTGGACGTCCTCGGCGTCCGCAGCAGCCAACTCACCGACCTCGGCGAGCAGAGGGATTGTCGCCGTTGAGGAGTCCGTCGACGGGGTGGTCGGCGTCCGCCCCGACGCCGGCCCGTGCTCCAACTTCCACACCTCCATCGACGTGTCCTCGTAGAACACCACATCCGACGTGGTGACAACCCGGTTGTCGGCGATGTCGAGGAGCTCCCAGCCCTTGCTCTCCGCCGACACACCAAGGTGAAGGCCCCACTTGGCCTTCGGGTTCAGCTTTCCGCCACGCTGCTGCTCGGGGACCAAGAACTGTGCCATGCAGCCCCACACACGTGCCAGCAACAGGTCGGGCTTCTGCCCGGTGAGCAGCTGGTACGGCGTTGTCCCCGGCGGCAGCGTCGACCTCTCAAGGCAGTTGCGGACCCAGACGGCCTGCCGCAGAGCGAGGTGCCACCAGTGGTGCTGCACGCCCATGTGCAGCAGCATCGTCCGCACGGACTCCACCACTGTCCTTATCTCTCGCTCCGCCATGCCGTTCTGCTGCGGGGTGTACGGGCAGGTAAGGTCATGGACGATCCCCTTTCCGTCCACGAAGTCGGTGAATGCCCTTCCGAAGAACTCCCCTCCTCGGTCGGAGCGTAGCATCAGCACCGACTTCTTTGCCTGCCGCTCCACCAGCACCAACCACTTCTAGAACTCCAGCAGCACGTCCGACTTCTTGACGACCAGCTTCACCCACACGTAGCGGGTCTTGCGGTCCTTCAGCAGCAACAAGTACAGGCTGCCGTCCTTGGCAGCCGCGCGAAACGGCCCGCACAAGTCGATGTGCACGACGACTGGCGCGACATCGGCGTCGGAGCCTTGGTCGGGGAATGTGTGTCGCGCCAGCTTCCCGCCGATGCACGAAATACACGGCGAGTCAGCGCCGGACGCCAACTTGAGGTCCAGCCCAGTGGCGACCTCGTGCTTCGCCGAGCTCCGGATGGTGTCCATGCCGATGTGTGCAAGCCTCGCATGCAGCCTGTCCGGCGTCGACTTTGTCGCCGAGACAATCGCCCGCATGGCCACGACCTCCGTCGTGGGCGACGTCGACCTCGTCAAGCAGGGACGCAGGTCGGTGCAGAGGACACGCCCGGTGTACGTCGTCCGACCGAGCACCTCTCCCGCCGCCGAGACGAGCAGCATCCCGTCGCCGTCCTCTTGCAGCTTCAGGCCATTCTCCTTCAGCTGCCCGGCCGAAACTAGGTTCGCTCGCACACCCTGGACGTAGAGCATGTCAGATATGAGCACCTACTTCCCGGCCTCCCCTTGCAGGGCAACAGTGCCGCGGCCCTGGACGTCCTGCAGCGCCCCATTCAAGCCGCGCACGTGCTTGACGTCGCCGCTCGGCTGTAGGTCGATGAAAAACCCCCTTCGTCCCCATTCGGTGGTGGGAGAAACCGCTGTCGAGCAGGACCACCGGCGGGTTTGCCTGCACAGCTGCCGCCACCGCCTAGAAGTCCTCGACGACCTCCGGCGCCAGCTAGACGGTCGGCTCCACGACGCCGACCAGCGAGCACGACGCCTCCTTGTCGTCTCGCCCTTTGCCGCCAGCAGAGAAGTCGGCGTCCTTCGCCGAGGTCGACTTGTTCCACTACTTCTCCTTGCGCGGCTTGTTTCCTCCTCGACAGGGACGACAGCTGCCAGACCTTCCGCGGCCTCCCTTGGCGTCGTCGTCGTCGGAGTCACTGCGGTCGGGGCACTCGAAGGAGAGGTGGTCCGGGTCGCCACACAACCAGCACTCCCGACGTCGACTTCCCCCTCCTTGACCGCTGTCCTTGGCCGACTTCTTCTTGTCGACATCCTTGGTCGGCTTCCAGCTACTGCTACCGCCTTCGCCAGACTGTCCGCGCTGCCCCGGTCGGCCTCCTTGCTTCGCCGGAGCGACGTAGTTCACCTGCGCCAGAAGCTCCTAGGACCGTTCAGCCTCTTGCATCGCCTCGTCTTGCAGGATGTACGAGGCCAAGGTGTCCTCGTTGAGCGTCGCCCGCATGCTCGGCGCCATCAACAGCCGTTTTAGCAGGTTGTAGCTGCTCGGGAGTCCCTGCATGACGTGCGTGATGTACGATGCCGTTGAGTACTGCGCGCTGGCCATCTTTATGGTGGCGAGAATTCGCCGAGCTCGGTTGCAGTAGTCGGTCGCCGTCTCCTGGTCGCCCGTACGCAGGTGCGTCAACTGCCCTTCAAGCTGGGCGATGAACAAGTCGTCGATGACCTGGTACGTCGACTCGATGAAGTGCCACGCCTGGTGGTCGGCGTGGAGGTAATCCCTGCACGACTTCAAGGTGATCTGCACGCTGTTTGGTGCAGAGTTTCTGGCGGTGGCTAGATGCAGCTACGGCGACATCCGACTCTTACGTCCCAGCAGCTTCGTGAGTGGCTTTACAAGCGTGGGACGTCTCCGGGTCCTGATCGCTGCTCGTATGAAATTCGCACAGGCCGTCGAGCTGGTCAGACCTGTGGGACACCTGGTCACGCACAGTCCCGCAGCTTCGCCTATTTGAGTGACGCCTGGCACGCAGAGTTTGGCGACGAGGCTGAGCTCACCCACTGGCTTGAGCTGCTTAGGTCGGGCGTTGATGTCTTTGCTTTGGACTATGATGCCATCCTTACTGCAATGTATGCTTTGCCTGGTGGTGCTGAGGGTGACTGTTACCTCTGTGTGCAATATGACCCCGGTATAGAGGTTGCTGATCTAGGTGCTAGTGAGGCTGCTGCCTTAGGTGCTAGCGAGTCTGCTCTCTCAGGTATTGCGCCCACTGAGGCCTTGCACACCTTCACGCTTGACTCAGGTGCTTCCCGCTGTTTCTTTTGCGGTAGTACCGCACTCACGCCACTCCCTGCACCTATTGCAGTGTCTCTGGCTAACCCCTCAAGGGGCCCAATTCTTGCACGGTCCTCCACTGTGCTTCCGTGCTCAGCGGTTCCGTTTGGCTCACTGGCAGGTTATCACCTCCCCTCATTCTCTACGAACCTGGTGAGCAACTCAGTCCTCCAGGATGCATGGGTTGACACCATTACCCCTGGAGGACAGCATGTGGCGATCTGTACGTGCTCCCGGACTGGCTGTCACCTGGCCACGTTCACCCGCCGGCCAGGGTCGAGTCTTTACACACTGACTACTGCGTCCCCTCAGGTAGCTGCTACTATTCAGGTGTCTGCGTCAGGTCACGTAGCCTCCCCTTGTTCGTGTCGCTCCCTGTTGCACCAGACTCTTCTCTGGCACCACCGCCTGGGTCACCCCTCCTTGCCACGTCTCCGTGGCATGCACCGACGCCTCCTAGTGTCTGGTCTTCCCAAGTCTCTCCCTCCCCTCCCTGCCTCCCCTGCGCCGCCCTGCCTTCCTTGTGTCGAGGGGCGGCAGCGCGCCGCTCCTCACTCCTCCTCGTTTCCCCCGACAGAGGCTCCTCTGCAGACCCTCCACCTGGACGTGTGGGGCCCAGCCCGCGTTCATGGACAAGGCGGTGAGCGGTACTTTCTGCTGGTTGTCGACGACTACTCGCGTTACACCACGGTCTTCCCCTTGCGCACCAAGGGTGAGGTCCCTGCTGTCCTGATCCCTTGGCTCCGAGCAGTTCGTCTTCAGCTCCGCTGGAGGTTCCACCAGGACCTTCCTGTCCTGCGTCGGCACTCTGACAAAGGTGGTGAGTTCACCTCCGACCTCTTGCGGGCCTTCTGTCAGGGGGGAGGCATCGAGCAGTCGTTCACGCTTCCGGGCTCACCGCAGCAAAATGGGGTTGCTGAGCGCCGCATTGGCTTAGTCATAGAGGTCGCTCGTACCTCCTTGATCCATGCAGCGGCTCCCCATTTTCTGTGGTCGTTTGCAGTCCGGTACGCCGCGCAGCAGCTCAACCTCTGGCCCCGTGTCTCCTTGCCAGAGACCTCGCCCACACTGCGTTTGATGGGGGAGGTTGGCAATGCGTCGCCTTTCCGGGTCTGGGGTGCTCGTGCCCTTGTCCGCGATACGTCCGCAGACAAGCTCTCCTCCCTCACCATTCCCTGTGTCTTCCTTGGCTTTGTCCCTGACGCGCCTGGCTGGCAGTTTTACCACCCCACCTCGCGCCGTGTCTTCCCCTCTCAGGACGTCACCTTTGACGAGTCGGTTCCTTTCTACCGTCTCTTCCCCTACCGCACTGCCCCTCTCCCTCCCCCGCCGCTTTTCCTCGCTCCAGGTCCCCCTCCGGTAGACCCCCTTCCCCCTCAGGGTCCTACTCCTTCAAGTGTGTCTCAGGTAGACCCAC